GTTAAGGGCCCTGCGTTCAATACCTGGTATCTACTGCCCCCCCAACAAAATGTGACAGCCTATGAACAAAGAGAAATTTTTTCTTCTCTAACAACCTTAAGTGACTATTCCATCATCGTAGGTATTTTGGAGTTCTTTTTTAAGCAATTGTTTCATGGTTTTAATTAGTTATACATGACAGTAGAATGCATTTACGCATTTTGATATACCATACATATATGGGGTATAATTTCTCATTTTTCTGATGACATGTTGTAGAATCATATCAGTCATGCAGTCATATATGTAGATAAGGTAAAATGTCTGTTTCATTCTCCTATCCTTCCTACCCCTTCGCCTCCCTAACTCTCCTCTACCTAACCTAAAGGAACTCTATTCTTCCCTAGCACCCCACGTCTTACTGTGAATTAGCATCCACATAACAGAGAAAACATTCAGCCTTTGGTTTTTTGAGGATTGGCTTATTTTGTTCAGCGTGATATTCTTCAACTCCATCCATTTACTGGCAAATGCCATAATTTCATTCTTCTTTAAAGCTGAGTAATATTCCATTAAAAAATATATTTTTTATGATCTTTAATATATAGATGCTTAACTTCTAAGCTTTGGTTTCATCATACACACACACAAAAAATAACATAACAAGACAGTGATGAAGTGCTGTAGTGAAGCACTTCACTATGCTGAAGTACTAGCACCAAATCAGTCACGTTCCCTACATCATCTCCCCTTTTTAATACCCTGAATGTTTTTCTGTATGTTACAAATGTCTTGAAGGTTGTTCATAATTCATTGTTCATAGCTATGTGCTTATAAATTAGCACAAAATGCTTAATACATGTAATGGATTATATATTATAATCCAAAACTCTTTTGTCATGAGTATGAAAAAGAAACATCATGTCCATGAACTGTTAATATATATATTTTATATATACATAAAATCATGTTTTCTTCATCCACTCATTTATTGAAGGGCACCTAGGTTGATTCCATAGTTTAGCCATTGTGAATTAAGCTGCTATAAACAATGATATGGCCACATTACTGCAGTATGATTTTAACTCCTCTGGGTATAAACCAAGGAGTGGGATAGCTGGGTCAAATGGTTCTATTCCAAGTTTTCTAAGGAATCTCCATAAAAGCATTAACCTCTAGGATACATAAAGAACACAAAAAACTTAACACCAAAAAAAAAAAAACAAACAAATAACAGTCAATAAATGGGCCCAGGAACCGAACAGAGACTTCACAGAAGAAGAAACAGAACCGATCAACAAATATATGAAAAAACGTTCAACAACTCTGGCAATTACAAAAATGTAAACCAAAACTACTCTAAGATTCCATTTCACTCCAGTCAGAATGGTAATTACCAAGAATACAGGCAACAAAAAATGTTGGCAAGGATGTTAGGAGAAAAGGTACACTCATACATTGCAGGTGGGAATGCAAATTAGTGCAACTACTCTGGAAAACAGTAGAGATTCCACAGAAAACTCAGAATGGAACCACCATTTTGGAATTCTTAGTACACACTAGGTTTCAGCCATCAAAGAAATCTCATTAGTCAAAATTAAATACTATTATATTTGTATATCTAAGAAAAAGTTCACTTTTCAGGACTTAAATTAAGTTTAGAAATAATTAGTATAAAAACATAACCTCACAAATTTCACGTACCACTGTGCAATTATTGTTCTGATCCTCAATCCTGCCACATAAGAAAATGACCTTTAAATAATCAAAACAAAGTTCCTCACTATTCAGAGAGCATTGTTTTAGGATTTACTGGGTGCTTTAACCACTGTAAAGCTGTGAAGCACAAAAGAACAGTTAAGGACACATGCATTTCAAGCTACCAGGATGTGTCTTTAGAGTCTTTAAGGAACACTTTTAAATTGTAAAGCAGAAAGCTTTATAACTTTCTAATGTAAAAAAACAACTTCCATACTTAATAGGTTATTCCTTGAATTCCACTAAGAATATGCAATATTTAAAGCTATACTTAATTAGCTACAAAATTCACTGATAATTTTCACCATTTTTCCTGAACTAGTATGAATTTAAGTTTTAAAAAGCTACAGAGAAACCCATTGATTAAACTAGAACTCTGTGTGTATGTATTTACATACACACCTAATAAAATAACTTAGAGGCTGGCTTAGTGTATATTGAAAAATTAGCATTTTTATAAAAAATCAAAGTATTATAATTAAATACTTAGCTTTAAGATAAAGAATTTCTTTATCTATATTATTTTTTTGCCAAATAAATGCAAAGTAATTTTCTATATCATATATTCTGTTACCTGTGAACTTAAAGAACCAATTTTTTAAAGTGTATAAAGTAAACTGATTATTCAACCCATATAATCTATACAAATCTTACTCTGATCAGGTCCTTTATTGACATTAGCCCTATTAGCTGTTCCATGAAGCTCTGCAGGAAGATACCCTGATACAAACACTTTAMAAGGAATTGTAAGCACAAAAAGCAGCAATAGAAGTTACCCAAAATTCTGGCACTACATACTTCATATGTATCTGTAGTTATCTACCAAAGCTTAAAGAGAGAAGATGAAACAGTTAAGCAGCACCATTTCCCATATCATCTCTTCTTGATATCCAAATGCATGTTTCTGTTGTTTTATTGTGTGTTCTAACAATGAAAACAATAATCCTCCTAACTACTTTTACAATTAAATTAAGATTCAAACTTGGTAAGTGAAAACTTTCTGTAAACTGTAAAGTTTAAGATAAAAGCAGTGCCCCCTATGTTAGAAAGAGAAAGCATCTCTAATTGGTTATAATAGTATAAGAAAAAAAATTAGAAAATTATAGCCTACATTGGAGATTTAACTAATCTTTAAAAAAATTAGTCTTCTGACATAACTCAGAAAGGCAAAGCAGTAGCACACAACATTTAGTAAATCGTTTATTTGTAAATGGTAGTTTACTTAAAAGAAGTTTATTCCTCTCATAATACAAATGTGTTGCTATTTTTTGATACAATTATTGGCTATTAATATCACATGATTAAAATCCACTAATTTAAAACATGTCTTTAAAGTAAAATCATTATAATAATTTCTTAATTCTGTCCTAATTTTCCTGAACAACTTACTTAGGCTTGGTACTCAGGTGAGATCCTAATTTGTTTAAGTTAAAATAAAAGAAAATCTAATCAAAATAGCTAGTAAAACAAAAAAACTCAAATCTTTCCAACACCTCATTAGAATACCTATTAATATTAATAACATCTCAATTATATTAATATATCTCCTAATTACATATTAATATATTAATAACACCTCAATTAAAGAATACCTATTCAGCGGCTGGGGTTGTGGCTTAGTGGTAGAGGGCTTGCCTAGCATGTGTGAGGCATTGGGTTCCATTCTCAACACCACATATAAATAAATAAATGAATAAAATTAAAGACCATCAACATCTAGAAAAAATACCTATTCATCCTACACAAAATAACATTTTTACTGCCAAAAAAATTATTCAAGAATGCATACTCACAGAAATTAAAATATTGAGAATTGGAAGTGTTACCTCCACTCTTATAAGATCAGCTAGGCTTAATATACAGTAGTCAAAATTATATTGAAAAAATGAAAATCAAAAAAATGTTTTTTCTTCAGAATATCACTATATCCAAAAAAAGGGGGAAACATCTCCTTTCATGGAAATACAAACACACTTTAATTCAGGATGAAGACAATCACTAGAAAAACAACCACTAGACTGCACTTTACTCAAGTCTTCATTTTTTCAGTCATTTAACATTGTATAGCATAATCTTCAAATAAAAATTTAACAGAAAATATCCATGAAAATACTTTATTCCTGTATCTCACTTCTGCTTTCCCTATTTCTGTGTTCAAAACCAAGCATTCCCAATACCTATAAATATCCCTTGATCTTTTTTATAAATATTCTTCTAAAAAACTTGAAGAACCATACAATTGTAACTTAGTAGAAATAAGGCCTGATCTTAAAAATGTCAATGGTAAAAATAACTTACTAGGACCAATGAAACAAATGCACCTTTAGCTAGGTATCCGTTACTAATAAACTACCAAAATCTCCACCAAATCTTGTGTTTAAGCTTGTTTTAAAACTCACCTCCTTAAGCCAAAATTACCAAAAAATTTCTTAAAGTTTCTAATTTAGAACAAAGACAAAACCATCTTTATTTTCCCTTGAATGATTAAAATTTTCCTATATAATGTTGAACTTTACCATTTTATGTCCAAGATAAATTTGAAGAAAAATTAGTTCAATATTCTATAGAACTTGTTTAAGGTTGGGACTGACTAATCATATTTGCTCTCAAGCTTTATAAAAGTCTTTTACTCAAACATAAATATGTTAGTAAAACACAATGACTTGGATACATTTAAATTACCTGAAGCAAAATCAGAAACTGCTCCAACATTTGTTTGTGGAATATTCAGTATTTACTGCTATTTGTTTTTACTTTCCACCTTGTCATTCTTCATCAGATTGTACCTAGCTTTACATTGCTTTAGCTACTTATTAACAGTTCTGGCCAAAATATACATGAACATGTTTATTTAAAAAAAAAATAAAGATGGCAACATAACTCAAAGAAATTTTTGTTGTTTGTTTGGTATCTCTTTGCAAACAATCGAGGACCAAAACTTTTAAGTATCACTCAGGTAAAGACAAGACTGCAATGCTTTATCATCCAGAAATATGTACAGAAGCAACAAAAAATCTAATTGTGGCCATAAATGATCTAATTTTCAAGACAATGAATCAGTGAATTTGCAGGTAAATAACATAAGAAAACCATGAGTGCCTTTTTTTTTTTTCCTCTCAAATTTTCAACACTATATAAAACAAGGTACGTATTATAAACCTAAAAAATCATGATCATATCTGGACATACAACCACTCAAATGAAGATTAATCACAACATTTGATTACCAAAAAAAAAAAAAATTAAAGTTAACAAAAACTCACTTTATATAGTATCTTGCACCTTCAAAAGTWTATGCTTCCTCCCAGCCAGTAGGCAAATCTAAAAAAACATATAATTATAATCAGTATTACTTCAGTGGGTTACCACAATAAGTGTTAATCTATTTAAATTATTCTCTATCATGATTATAGCTATTTTCATTTCAGTAGGTTTACAACTAAAAAATAAGTGTTGAACTTGCAATAAAATTAAAAGCAAATATAATATCACTTTGGGGAAGATGACAATTCAAGTTTAAAGCCACCAGAAATTCAGAAGCAATGTTAGAGATTATCTAATATGATTTTATATCTCTTAATAATCAGGGTAGAAAGAAGCCTTCTGGCACCCAAATAAGCAAAAAGAAACCTTCCAATCCTAGGTAAAATACCCATCAATGGTTAGTAAAAAAACAAAAACTGTGCGTAACAGGCAATGCCTGCCTCTTTTAGGTGTAATGTGTATACTTAAGACACTATTTTTCCACCACATAAATGAATTCATCTAGGAAATGTCAATGATGAGAAGGAATAACTTTCTAAGTAATTAATTAGTGGGAAAAAATCTGATACTGAATACTTCCATGGTTGTATTTCCATATATTTGACTTTAACAGATGTGAAGTTTCAAGTAATAAACTTGAGAATGGTTCCTGAGAACATATTACTTATAAGGACAAGTGGTTTGGATTTAATCACTACTACCTCCCGGAAATAATCCATTAATGTGGGCACAAAATTCAGGGTCCAAGCAAAGTAAACCAAACCAGAAAAACATTAATGAGAAATCACATAAGAGAAAAAAAAATTCTGTGGTCAAACGTTATCAAATCTGTGGAGGTGATTAGGAAACATATTTGATACACATAGCCAAAATAACCATGAATAATTCCATCGGATGACCAAGCTAAATATATTTTTTATTATCTAATAGGCTTCAATCAAGTACATTTGTTACTAACCATACAAGCAATGAGACCATCATATTTGAATATGCATGCAAAACACCGAACAGGTATACCGAAGCCAAAGACTGACTGCACAGGGGAATTAAAAAATATGACGGTGTATTAGTCAGAAATGCCCTAAAAATGTAACCTCATCAAGCTTGCTACACCAGCTTTCCCTTTCCTCCTCCTCCACCTTTTTGCAAATTTGAACACATTAGTCACTTCACTAAGCGTTTAATAGGAAAGGCAGGTTTGTTAGACATCCTGGCAACTTTAACGGATTCACAGAATCTCGGAGTTAGACAAAGTACCTAGGAGGGCAGTTCTGAAGGTCTACTAAAACCGGCCTCACCTTCGACCCCAGCTGTTCTCAGGCCTTTCCAATCACCAGAAGAACACATGTTTTATTTCAGACCAACAAGTTCCACGAATGTAAACAAAGAATGGCAAAAGAAAGCCAGACCGGCATTGAAATTGCAAAAAGCCCTTCTCCAGCTCAACTCACGTTTAGCGTCCAAGCAAACTACCAAAGCCACCTGGAAAACTGGTTTCCCCGCCGACACCCTGCCACTGGGGGCCCAAATGCCCACACGCGGGCCACCCCTGGCTCGCCCACCGCCTCCAGGAGGTCTGTGAAACCTCCGTGCAGCCGCGAGGACTTTGGATCTGGATCGCYGGCGACTGCGGCTGAGAACGCCTCCTCGGGCTCCGGCTGCTCCCCCAGTGGCAGGAAAGAACGCGCCAAGCGTTTCCCGAGCTGTTCCCTGTCACTGAGAGGATGGCAGCACCCCCGAACTCTTCTCCTCCTCCATCAGCCACCTACCTCCCACAAGTCCCACCTAAGACAAGGAAGCTGCACGGTAGGAGGCAGCTCTCCCGGGAACAGGGCGAGGATGTGGCGGCCAAGCGACAGGGTCCGGGCTGCAGGGCTGGGGGTGGGCAACCACTTCCTAAAGGCTGCTGGGGCGGCGGGAGTTAGGAGTGGGCGCAGAGGGAAAACTCGGATTCCAGGTTTCAGGGAGAGGGGTGTCGGCCATCCTAGGGGCGCAGGGAGCGTCCAGGTTGGGATGGGAGAGAGGGCACAGAAAGAGGGCGCCGTCTCCAAGTGGTGATGAAAGGCTGAGGAGAAAGAGGCGCCCAGAGACTCGAGCGAACTCCCGGCGGCGGCACCCCCCCCCCGCGGCCCCTCTACCTGCCGCCGCCCCACCTCACCGCCGCCCCGGCCACGGCTCCGGGCAGGTTCCCGGGCGCCGGGCGGCCCGGCTTTGCCGCCGCCTCTCGGCAGAGCCCAACTCCGCTCGGCCCGGCCGCGCGCCGCCTTACCTGTGCTCTGCCGCCGGTGTCCGGTGACCACGGCCTCGCCAGTGACAGGGTGCAGCCAGGTGGTGCTCTTGGCCTCCTCACTGCAGGGGTGAGAGAAGGGGCAGAGACCGAGCGTGAGTGGGGCGCGGAGACAAGCCGAGGGGCTGAGGACGCCGGACCCTGGCTCCGTCTCCCCTCTCGCCAGCCTCCAGCCCTCCCGCCCCCTCCAGGCCCCCGCGCCCCCGCGCCGTCCCCGGATCTTTACTTGATGAAGAAGACTCGGCCGCCCCTGGTGATCCCATAAGTCCAGGACCAGAACAGGCAGCAGATCCACTCCAGGTTCAGATCCGCCGCCATGTCTGATCCCCAGCCGCCGCTGCCGCCGCCTTCTCCTGCTGCCGCCGCGGCTGCCGAGGGAGGAGGGAGGGAGAGAGCAAGCGAGCGAGCGAAGGGAGCGCGGAGTGAGCGCGGCCGGAGCGCGCCTCCCCGGCCCGGCGCGCCCCCGCGCGCGCCCTACCCCCTCGGGCGGCGCCCGCCCTGCCGCCCCGGCTGGGTCCGGCCCGCGTCGCCGCGCCTCGGCATCCTCCTCGGCCGCCCGGCCGGCCGCCCAGCCGCGCGCTCGGGGGATGGGCGAGCGGCGCCGCGCCCCGCCGCAGACCCCTCCCCGCTCCCCTCCCGCGCGCCCGCCCCCTCTCCGGCGCGAAGGTTCCGGGATCGAACCGAGCGTGTCCTGCCCCTAGGGCTTTGCCCCAAGGCTTGGCAGCCCGGAGCGCGGTTCAAAGCCGGAGAAATAATCCGCGCGCCCCTGATTTCTGTCTTTTTAAAACAACAAAAACACAACATCTGAGCCTTGTTTCATAAGAGCTGTTGGATATCCAGGAGATTTTTCAAATATATATCTTTTTAAAATAGAAAGCTGTTTTTATTGAAACAGACAAAAGGCTTTTCCTGTTTATTTGTTATGTGCAAAGTATCAAAGATTTGACTACTTACCATAGACCCATGAACTATGAGTGGATTCAGACTTGACAAGGCCAGTTTTTTCTTTCCTAGGCCCCTTAAATCATATAATGTCTAATAAAATAAAAACCCACYTTCTCTTACTTTTTTAAAAAAATTACTTATATTCAATGTGATTTGTATCTTTCCTTGTCTTATGGTATTACAATAATTGCTTACTTGACAATGTCCTTATAAACTATTTTTAAATCCCCACAACAACCCTATAGATAATATTATAATTCCCACTTTACGGATGGGAAAAATAAAGTTTGAAGAAACAGTGATTTACCCACAGGCATAGTAGTAAGTGGTAAAGCCTGATTCTAACTGGCTCTAGGATTTCAAAAGTCTGTATAACCACTTTGCTGTACAGTACTTGTCTTCTCCACTCCTTGTTCTTTGAAGAAGGGCAGATTTCACTGCAACTGAGATCTCCTCCCTTAGCACAATCTAAGAGTACTGCACTTGGCTCTTATTGTCTCTGGTCCTCCACCACACTTAGAATTGCTTATGCATCTTTACAGCAAGATGACTCATTCCAACAGGATACACAATTCAGTAATAGTAGTACCATTTGGTATTCTTATAGCACCTTTTTCTGATCAGCTTTGGGTGCCTCCGGGGCATTATCTCATTCACCTTTTCAGTAAACAGGCAAATAATCTTTTCCAACATTAAAGGAAACTAAGGCACTGAAAGGGTAAATGACCTTGGCTGAAGTGGCATCCAGCAAGTCAGGTGGGATCTGGATAAGAATGCAATTTCAAAGGACTTTTCCTTCCATACTCTGATTCCAAGGCCATTCTGACTTTTTGGTGAAAAAGAGTCTGCAATTACTGCTATATTTTTTCTGTCCATCTGCATATACTGGGAGGAGAATAACATCACTTTAATGTATTCTCTTTTGGGGTTCCTTTGCATTCTCCTCTTTCATTTAACTACTTAGTACTTCTTGACATCTCTTGCCCAGTCTCTGGAAAAAATGACTTTTTTTTTTAAATCAATGAATAACTAGCAGAAAATGTTCCACATTAGCATCAGTGATCATTGGATATAACAGCAAGAAAAATCAAGAGCTATTTACTTTATATTGTGCTATTATTTCAAATAAAAAATCTAAAGTGAATATTTTTAATATTAATATCACAATAACTTTAGAAATCTAGTACTTGTTAGTCCATCTATGGTATTTGAATATTTGATTGTGTACTACTGAGAAAGTCTGTAAATTGACCATATGTTGTACTGGGATTCCTTATACCTCTGAATCTTTTGATAGAACAAAATTCATTTCTGCAAGGCATATTTCAAAAAGCAGTAGTGATTCACTTTAAATGTATATCTTAAGAAATCATATTTATAGTGCTCAAGTGGTAATCTATAAATTTAGTACAATTCTATAATATGTCCCCCAATTTATGAAAAGCCTTAAGTTAAAAGTTTAGTGACATATACACAAAGTAATGCATGCTTCTGATTTGTGGTAATAGCCTATATGACTACCAGAATCAATAAAAGCAGCCTCGTACATTAGAATGTTGGGCACTCTAATTTCCCCTTCATTAATAAAAATGTTCTTAAAATTTCCTAGAATGCCTTTTCTCTGTGACTGTACCTTTATGCAGCTCTGTTTTATCTTATAGTTGTGGGTACATGTGGGCTTCCTTTGATATAATAGGATAGGAATCATGTCTTTCCCATCAACGAATCTCCACAACCTTGAGTCAGTACTGGAGTGGTTAGTGAATTTAATTTTCTTCCAGTGCCTCAACCTCCCAACGGAGTTATTTTCCAATAACAAACCCCTTTTTATCGCCCTATACCTCTTCAGTAACTGACTCAGACCTAAACTCATATCTAACCTCTGCTTTTTATTGTATTTTTTTTTTATATTTCTACCCTAGGAGACTATTCAATTTTTTTGTATCATGATCTGCCTTTTGGAGAAGTATTATCTTATGACTATCACAGCCGCTTCAAAATAGGAGAGGTTTACAAAGTACTAAGAACTAAAAATAAACATCATTCTCCCTTTATATAGAAGACAATCCTTGTTCTAAAGGGCTTACATGTAGTTCAAATAAAGCAGAAAAATCACATAATGACAGGGAAAACTGAAAATTGTTTCCTAAAATATGTGAAAGGAAAGAGAATAAGGTGACATCTTAGACAACAGTGAATCAATTTGTTTCCCCTTTTAAAGGGAATGAAAAATGTGAGTTCTAGAAAGTGGAGAAAGAGGCTTGTGAAAGACAACAATTTCTTTTACTATCAAGCAACATCTATTATTCACATATATTGTTTATTAAAATCTATCACCAAGTTTTGTGACTTTTATTAGGTTATTTTGTGAATATATTTGTGATATTTTATATATTTTGTTACAGTATTTGTTCATAAAGTAAAATAATACAGTGAGTCACAGATGAAACCATTTCATTTATTTTTTAACAACCATATATAGGATTCTTACGATGTGCCAACCACTCTGCTAGGTGATAGGGATTAAAAGACTTGGCCTGCTTTGGGCAGCTTAGAAAGGGAGATAGAGATCCAAATACTTGAGTATAGTGTGGGAAGCAGCATTTCTATCCTTGTTATAGAATACAAACTTTATATAGCAGTTGTATTCCTCCAGGGAAGGAGATAGTTCAAAAATATCTTCAAGGAGCTTGCATTTGAACCCCTGGACTCATTCAGATTACACACCTCTTCCTTTCCCCAATCAGTAAAGCTCCAATCACCTTTTCTATAAAAGAGAAAGGCCAAAATTCAAATGGAGGAGAATTAAGAAAACAAGTCTGAGTCTGGGTAGGTAGCTCAGAGGTAGAGTGCTTGCCTAACATGTATAAAGCACGCACGAGCTCAAACACACACACTCCATTCTCAAAGGTAATTGTTTTTCAAAAGAAAACAAGTTGGGGCTGTGGCTCAGTGGTAAAGCACTTGCCTAGCATTTCTGAGGCACTGAGTTCAATTCTCAGTACCACATAAAAATAAATAAATAAAGGTCCATTGACAACTAAAAAAAAATACTTAAGATATAAAAGAAAACAAGTATGTTTCAATGGAGGAGCAGAACATGAGATGGGGTGAGGGAACACTGAGTTAGGAGTCTGGCTGGATTTTACATTTGGCTTTGCCATTAACTAGTTGCATCAGATTAGACAAATCATTTAACCTCCACTTTCCTTCCATTCAGTCCTCTTGATCCTCATCTGTAAAATGAAGGCATTGACCTATTTAGGACTTTACATATGATTCTTTTTCCAACTCTATAGAATTTTTAAGATGTTCTACCATTCATACTTCCTTATGGAAAAGTTTGGAAAAATGATTTACAATTTTTTTACATGTACCATCATATTTAACTTGTAAAAGGGGCTCTGTAACATAAAAAAACATTCACATTATAAACAAGAAAATGGGCTCCACAGAGATATCATATCAGATGACCAATAAGTGGCTGACATGGGGCTTGAACCAGGGCTAGCAAACAGTAGATTTTAAGTTCTATCCACACATACTCCCTTTCTAGGCAAACTTTATTTGTTCTATCTATGTCCTCATCCCAAGTCACCCTACTACTTGTCACAGTTGGGGTCTCCTTGAAACACTTCACTGCACCTGGTTCTCCAGATCACCAGTGTTCCCCACCCCATAGGCTACCAAGATCTTTTCAGTTCTAAGCTCTCCTATTCACATAGTCATCACTTCACTTTCAAACTCTACACTTTTGGGTTTCATAGCACCACCACCTTGCAGTTCTCCTCCTGCTCCTTTGGCAACATTTCTCAATATTGGTCCATGTGCAGCAGAATCACTGGGGAAGCTTTAAAGATCGATCCCTGGAACCACCATTTGACCCAGTTATCCCACTCCTCAGTTTATATCCAAAGGACTTCAAATCAGCATAGTATAGTGACACAGCCACATCAATGTTTATAGCAGCTCAATTCACAATAACTAAACTATGGAACCAACCTAGGTACCCTTCAACAGATGAAAGGATAAAGAAAACGTGATATATATACACAATGGAATATTACTGAGCCTTAAAGAAGAATAGAATTCTGCCATTTGCTGGTAAATGGATGGCGTGGAGAATATTATCCTAAATGAAATAAGCCAGTCCCAAAGAACCAAAGGCCAAATGTTCTCTTTGATATGTGAATGCTAATTCCCAATAAGGGGGTGGGGCTAGGAAAGAATAGCGGTATGTTGGATTAGACAGAGAGAGTGAAAGCTAGGGAGAGTGCTGCAACACTAGACTAGATCATTCAGGGTCACTCCAGGTGAATTTGGATTGGCACGAAATAATCACACACAGAGACAGAAAGTACCTTTTTCTTAGG